TTTGAAGCCCCCCCCCCCCCCCCATCGCAGCGACCTGCTGCCTGGTTCACCACTGGCACGAGAATCACGAATGTGAATGTACTTACTCACCATTCACTACTCACTGCTGCTGTGACTTGTCCTCATCAATCCTCAGCTTTGCAGACGTCCGACCGGCTGGCGGGCGTCGCTACGTATGAGAACGAGCTTCTTGCTTCCATCAGGGAACGAGCTTCTTGCTTCCATCAGGGTCAGAGGACAGGGCGCAGGGTCAAAAAGCTCTGAGGGCTGGCCGAGTAGCAGAGTGACCCTACACCGCGTGTCAAGTCCCTACCGACGGCACGGCCGGCCGCGCCAAGCTGATTGATTGCGCTGCGTTGACTTTTGACTCTTGACTCGACTCAAACTCTGATTAGGACACGTGACTCGGCGCGTGGCACGCGGCAGACGCGCGCGCCTGCATGTCAAGCTGCTGCGCGCGAGTCATGAGTCGAGGGAGATGGATCAAAAGTCAGGTCAAGATGCGTGTGTGCATGCATCCATCCAGCACCCAAAAACAACTCCAAGCCAAGCTGCTGATGCCCTGACCACAGATCCACATCCAATCAGCCTTGCCGTCCTTCCAGACCGCTCCTGAGAGCCTCGGGCTCAGCAGTTGACCGCCAACATCAAGACCCTCAAGACTCAGTGCATTCCCATCATCCGGAGCCCTCGCCAGCATCCCTGCGACGCTCTCCGACTAGCTGATCCAGGATGAGTGCGCGTGGGGGCCCTTCAGCAGCAGTCGCGACACCTATGAGAGGTCAGGAAAGCCATGCGGGGCTACGGACACCTGCACGAACGCCAGGTGGCTCGGAACAAACGTCAGCGACCCCAGTGATCGATTTTGCGCGTTTAGAGGCCGCAAAGGAGAACATCACCAGGTCTGCACAGGGCAGAAGCGCCTCGGCGCTCAATTCCACCTTGAGCTTGAAGCCTGGTGCACGGTCAAGAGCATTGGCCGAGAGAGCAGAAATCTTTGAAAAGGAGTGCGAAGCTGCAAGTGCTCCAGACAGCGATCACGACGACCCCATCGAGCCCTGGAGCAGGTATGCCATGTGGGCTTTCGACGCTTACCCATCGCACGGTCCGCACCTCGTGCACATGCTGGAGAGGGCTACAAGGGAATTCAAGGGACGGGAAAGGTACGCGCAAGACCCTCGCTACCTCAAGCTGTGGGTGCTGTATGCCAGAGCTTGCGAGAAGCCGCAGCACGTCTACCAATTCTTGCTCGCTCAGGAGATCGGGACTAATTTGGCCACTCTGTACGAAGAGCTGTCTATCGTCTATGAAGGTCGTGGAGTGTAAGTTCAGACGTGCAAGTTCTCTTGCGGAGATCGATATGAGCTGATTGGATCGCTTGATGCTTCAGCTACGACCAAGCTGACGCGACTTACAAGCTTGGAGCCGCTCGATTTGCAGAGCCGGTGGACCGACTCAAGAAGCGATACCGCGAGTTCCAAGCTCGACTCACAGGACGCTCGCAACTGGCAGCTACGGCCGCAGCAGCAGGGAAGCCCGAACCGACCTTTCGGGAAGTACTAGCCGCGGCGATGGCATCCGCGAACAGGGCGACGTTGGGTGAGCGCGCTCCCGATAGCCGAGGCGCTGGTGCCAGCAGTCGCAGTGGTAACGTGGCTCGAGCGTTTGGCAGCAATACAGCTGTACCGCTCAAAGCCATTGCGGCTCCCAACAATGCTCGTCAGATGGATGTATTCAAGGATGGCGACGAAGGGCACGGGCCAGACAGCAAAGCCCCCTGGGACGCCCTGCCTACCAATGCGGAGCGGAACCAGGAGAGCGGTCTTGGAGGCTCCAAGTTGTGGCATGGCGAGAAGCTGCTTCAAAAGCCTCCCGCTCGCCCGCTGGCGGCCGCGACCCCTTCCAAAGGAGCTCCGTTGGCAGTGTTCAGGGACAGCGATGACGAGGATGATGAGCCGAAGCCGAGGGGTGGAAAGGCCGTCTCGCCAGCAGCAGATCCAGAAGCGCAGATGTGGGACGCAGCAAACAAGTTGCGCGAGGATCCGCTGGCTCATTACGATAAGACGACTAAGCGTGCACTAAGCGTCGAAGAAGTCCAGGAAGCCAGGCGCAAGGCTAACCAGAACCAAGCCAACAAGGAGCGAAGAGCTGCACGGAATAAAGCCACTCATAGTCACAGCGTAGCCGGCGCTTCTGCGAACAGCTCAAAGCCCAATGCGCAGCCCAAGGCCACAGCAGCTAGCAAAGGTGGTGAGCAGTATGCCGTTCCACTCACTGTCCTATATCAGGGCATTGATCCCAAGGCACCACCTGATAGCGGCGTAGATCTCTCTGAGAGATCCGTTCCGGAGGTCTTGGCTGCACAGAAAGGCGTGCAGAGCAGCAGTGGGGATCCTGACCCATGGTCATATCTAGACTCGCGCATCGGATTATGGCTGCCTACTAGACAGTCTGAAAGTCACGTCTCCAAGAAGGCCAAGTCGTCCACTGGAAGCACTCTGACGAAGTCTTCTACTTCCGAATCGCTCTCTCGCAACAAGTCTGCTTCGTCCGCACCGGCGCAGAAGCAGACGGCGGAGCAACAGTCAAAGCCAAAGCCTCCGCGAGACCAGCAGCATGCTCCAGCGACAGAGCTACTTGCACTGAAGGAAAGGCCACCACGTGATGCATTTGATCCCGATGACAGCGCAGCAAACGCTGCAGCGCTAGGCTTTAGTGCGCCACGTAGAAGGATCGGCAACGTGCGTGCTGATCAACCGACCGTGACCATGGCTACTGCTTCTGCGCTGAAGGAAGTGAACGCCTTCTTCAATGAGGCAGAAGAGGAAGACACTGACTCTGATAGCGAGTCTGAAAGCGACGAGGACGAGGACGATCTGCCACCCATGTCTGCGAGGCGTCCTCCTGCCATGATGGCACCTTCTTCCCGCGTAGTTGATGAGACTCCAACGCCAGCTACTCGCAGCCTTTGCTCGGGCGCTGCGCCAGCTGCAAATTCGCTCAAGTCCCGCCCACCTCTTGGAGCGGTCTCGGAGAATGTCAACAAAGAGACCCAACCTTCTGAAATTGCGAAGATTGCGGGGACCGTGCCTTCGACTCCAGCCAAGTCAGCTCTCGGTGGCACGGTTGGAGAAACAAAGAAGTCCGTCGCAGTTGCTCCTCAGCTCAATCCTCAACCAGCTTCGCGAGCACAGCGTATTGACATTTCGACTCTAGCGGAGGAAGAAGATGAGGACGAGGAGGAGGAAGACGAAGAGCAGAACGACGGAATGGAGCCTGATGCTGCGCATCCTCTCGATGAGCATGAATACCACCACTTGACTCGTGTGACTGAAGTAACGGAACTGACTCGCTTCACCATGTTCAGCCGAACGCCTGGACGCTCCAACAGCGGCGGAACCTCAGACGCAGTGAGCAGCTGCTCGCGCTCTCGACCTGGTGCGGTGCTGGCGCAGCATGGGCCTTCGGACCCAGCTGCTCGGGCTCAACCCATTGCTATCGATCGGGCAGTTGTCGATCAGCGAGGCTTGCCTCGTCTCGACAATGCTGATGCGGACCGCTCGTGGAATAGCAACCCTTCGACTGAGGGTGACGATCTTCGCAATCTGTCTGGATCATTCGACTGGGCACGCCAGCGCCGAGGCGCTGACGTGTCTCCGGGCCACACGATTGAACAAAGAGCTGAAGATACCTCGGAGTGTTTTGGACGCCCAGCGTTGGCTGATACATTGGTCATCTCCGACGAAGAAGCTTTGAAGGCCACTGGCGGTATAGCGATCCCTGTCCAAGGTCAGCAGCGCATTCCAAATCCTTGCTCCCCTACCGACGTAGAGGTAGTGGCAGAGCTCCTCGCCGCTCTCGTTCTGCCCATCGAGTCATCCCCGGACTTTGTCGACCTGTCCAGCAGGTCTGCAGAGGGTCGTTTAGCAACGTTGCGAAAGCGCGCTAAGCTACAGAACAGGAAGTCGATCTCGTCAGGCCCCAATACCCCCGGCAAGGAGTGGAAGCTCGACATTGATGGCAATCCTTTCCTCGTACGCGGCCTGCTTGGCGAAGGAGGATTTGGATCGGTCTTCCTTGCAGAGGATGTAAAAGAGTGCGCACCGGCTCCTCGTAAGGCGATAGGAGGTATCGCGGGCGACTCGAGCTTTGAAGGCAGTGCAGCTGCGCGTG